CTGCTGCCTTTCAGCCGTCCTGGACAGTGAATGATGGCCCCTATTAATCACCGACCCCGCGGACTCCGGCGGACACACGCTATCCAAAGGAGAGAGAGATAAGGCAGCATGAACTGCTTGAAGCTGCTCCTATCAATTAATGTCAGCCCATTGCTTCCCCCCAATCTTTGCCTGTTCACCTCCTTTGGGGGGCATTGGGGGCTAAAATAAGTCTAGGAATTGAAAAAGGGAAAACATCGGTGCGGACCGTGGAGGTAAAACTGTCCTTGGACTAGAATTGCATCAAGAGGCCTGAGTGGGCCATGTCCTGCCCTCAGCTGCTGTGAAGGCTCTCGGCCTAGAGAGCTGCCTATGTCTCTTGGTCCCTTTCTGTCCCAGAGAATGGCTGCTACCTCCTGCCCCACCTGTTCAGCTGCCGGCTCCATTGGCCTCTGGCCTCCCTCTTGCAGCAGCCATCAGCTCACCGAAGCATGCTACCCTTGCCCACTCTAATGTCCCTTGTCCAATCACCAGCTGTTACACAGACTCTATTGCTTACAGGCACCGAGCTTTAGGGAGAAGCCCTGTGGGTCATGTGACTGTGTAGGCTGGGTTCAGGCCTCAAAAGCCCTCGCTCCTGGCTTTCTAGAGGAACACCTCGCCTGCCTCCTCTGCCCTGCCAAGGGCTGATGGAAGGAAGTTGTGCAGGCTGAGGTTTGGCCATCTTTACAGGAAAGGAAGTGGGTTTAGATAGAAAGGGTTTTCTCAGCAGATTTTGGCCACTTTGGTAAGCGGTGTGGTTATGGAACTATAGTCTCTCTCAGAGGGATTAGGCCCATTTCACTGCTTATCTGATGAAATGAAGGCCTTTGTGGCCCTTAGGATGATGTAAATGGTTTCTTAAGAGACTTTAATCCTGTAACCTCGGGTCTGTTCTGCAGAACCTTTAGCCACATTTGCTTTTGGCCTCGAGCTTCACTTCCTGGGGCCTCTTTCCCAACCTCCCTAAGACCCTGAAGATCCTCCCTGGCTGTTTTACCCCATGATAAGACAGCTCTGCCTTTCCGATTTGCTCTGGGATTTCCTTTAGCATCACTCTGATTGCATTTAGGTTCCTGCTTGTTTTTCTCAAAATTGCCTTAGAGGTGGTTATGAAGATTAAATGAGTTAATATACACAGAGCTCTCAGAATAGTGCTAGGCACAGAGTAAGTACTGGATAAATGTGAATTCTCTTTTTTGGTCTAATTTACCTTCTTGGAAAAGTGAGGTGAGAGGCTCTTTGTGGAGCTTAAAGACCAAGTTCTGAGCAGTCAGGTTTCTAGGATTAAAAAGTAAAAATTCAAGGAGAGAGAGGGAGAGGATCAAGATTACACCCTCAGAATCCTTAGTGTGATGTGAATTTATTGCTAAGAGCACACCCTGCTTTTATGTTAACTTTTATGCCCCTCTTTCCAGAGAAGATTTGAGGCTCTTACGACTTAGCTAAGATTCGTCACCCTGCTTCAGAGAAGGAAGCAGAATGGCCTTTCTAAAAGCCTCTCACCCCTAAATCCAACCACTGCCTAAGCTCCACTCACCTCTCTGCTCAAACAAAACCTTTCTTCCTGCACGAATTCTACTGTGTTCTCTCAAAGCATAGCTCTCTTTACAATCAACAGAAGCAGGATCCCCTGGTGCTGCAGCCTGCGATGGCTGACCATGAACATGGCCTAAGTGGAGTGCTAATGATTGTTCATCTGGGCTCTGGCTGCCCACTAAGAGAGATGTGCGGTCCTATACATCTAGAACTAGTTTCCCTTTGCCCGTTTGGGGCAGGGCATTAGCTGTGTGATTCAGACCCAAAATCTCACCTACATAAAGAATTACTTGCTCCAGAGAACTGATCTAGAGCTGAAGGCCAAATAAAAGCACATCCCGGGCCTTCGGGAGCAGGAGCAAAGCCTGCACCTCCCCTCATCCCTCTCTTTCTTGCCCTCATTAATTCCCAAGATGTTGCTTACAGCTTTTCCCCTAGGAACACAGGTCCTGAGGCCCGTCTCTGACTTTATCCACACCTGCCTGCCCTGTTACTAATTGTTATTTCATCTTTGAATCGCCACTTGTTTATTCTCCTCTTCTCCTCCCCACTCCCCCCACACACGTAAAAATCTAATAACAGTAATAGGTTAGGAAGACGACAGGCAAAGCAATGTGGTGGTGATTAGCACATTCTCTAGATCTGGACGTCCTGGGTCAAATCCTGGCTCTGTTTGTGCTGCCTGTGTGATCGTAGGCAAATCACTGGCCCTCTCTGTCCCTCATTTCCTTCACCTGTAAAGTGAAGACAAAGATGCTACTCACCCTGGGTGAATATGCACCTAGGCAGTACCTGGCACAGTGAGACTCAAATGTCATCTATTCTGAGAGGCTGGTGGACTGGAAATATCCTGGATGGAGGTTAGAAATTTGTGTTTGGGATCTGGCTCTGTACATCCCAGATATCCCAACAGGTCCCAAAACAAACCCACTATCATCCTGTTCCATCAGCAGGCTCCCAGTCTCCGCCGACTTCCCTCTAACCTGCCTTTTCCATGTGCTACGGGTTTTGTCATCCTAATCGTTTTCCTGCTTAGAAACTCTGTGGCCCTCTTAGCTCCCCAAATCCCCAGTGTAGCAGGTCAGCCCTTGATATTCAGGCCTCCACCTGCCTTTTCAGCCTGAGTATTCACTCAAGACACCAAACTCCCATGGTCCCCAAAGCCCCCACCCTCTTCTTGGTGCCCCTAGCCTTCTTGACTCAGAGGTCCAAACAAGCCTCTGGACATTTCTGGTATCCTGGCAGAGTTTGTCCCTCCCTCCTCAGCAGCATCCCTGAAGCCATGTGTAGATGCCCTCTGGGACTGCTGATCAGTTGAGTAACAGTGCCTTCCCAGTGTCTGTCCCCAAAGTGAGCTGCTTACAGGCAGGGATTGGGTCTTGCTCATTTTCATGTCTCCTTTGAAATCTCAAACTTAACTTGTCTGAACTTCGATTGTCTTAATGATCTCTGAAGTGACTTTGACCTCTAAAATATTATGATCGTGTGGCTCGTAAATTATAAAAAGGAATAATCCCACAAAACATGAGAAGTTTGAGAAGAAAATTAGGTTGAAGTAGGCTTTTCAAATGGACTGATGATGGGACTGAAGTCCCATCTCCCAACGGTGCAGTGGGGGCGCGGCCCTGAGGATCTTGTGAATATCATCTCTCCTCTTGAACTGTTTATTGAGGAGAGGAGGGCAGGGGAGGGGAGGGGAGGGAGGGCTTTTCTTCCATCCTCTTGGAGATATCACTGCCTCATAGACCAGGTTTGCTACCAAAGCTGGGGTCAGCCCCCACTTACTGAATGCCACCCACATGCTGGGCTCTGAATGAGCTGTTCTGCACAGAGTGATCAGGCCCCAGGAGCCACTTCCAGGATGGCATCCTGCCTGGCAGATCCTGGGGCCCAGCAGGAGGCGTCAAGCCTTCTCCATGGCTGTGGAGCCTGGGCTGCCAGCTGACCGCAGAAAGCCTTGTCCTCCAGATGCCTTCCAGGTGCCCTTCCTCTCAGGTGAGGAGCAGGGCTTCTCTGCGTAAATTGGCCCTGCATAAACTCTTACTTATCCTGCCTGCCACCCTCCTCTCCTTCCCCAGGCTGCGAAGAAAACCAGTTTGAATATTTAAACTTCTCCTGTGTGTCTAATAAAAAGTTCTGCACTATTTAACACCCCCGCTATCCATTACTGTCTGGAGCTGCCCTCTCCCTCCCAGCGTTCCCCTCCCTCCCTCTCACCCAAACCACGCGCAGCAAAGCCATTTGTCAAAGCTCCCGCCGCAGGCTGCGCTTGGCTGTGTCTGAAAGGACAAGCCGGCCCCACAGGGGAAGGTGGGAATGAATAAAGGGGCTATGCAAATTGCTGCTTAATCTGCAGAGAAACACCCAGGCTTTAGGGAGACGCTCATTACTTCTTTTAACTGTGATTAACGGGCAAATTAAACCCAAGCCCTTAACTCTATCCTGGCAGAGGACTCGAACGCAGAGCCCTGGACCCGTGAGGGTGGAGAAAGTCTCTTTGCTGCTGTCCGCAGCCCTGGGGACTGGGACCAAGGAGCATCATCAGTGCTGCCCAGTAACTGTTGTTGGTGCGATAGGAAAGAGGGGAGCCCCAGATGAGGGGACGCAGATCCAGCACCACTAACCCCGACATTTGGAGGAAGAAGGCCTTCTTATTCTCTCTCCAGTTTCTTTCAGCTACTTGAGAAATAAGATCGGAGGCTCTTATTTGCTGCTCTCCTTTCGCCCTCCCCCCCGCCCCCCCACACAAAAGT